ACATGTTATTCTGTTCATTTATAGTAATTATTAACAAATTTGAATGTGATGGCTATTTATCTTTTACAAGATAAATATTATTTAGTATACGAGATTATTGAAAATATATCATTTCAATTTTATTGCTCAAATGCATTATTTGAAGAGTTCTATTTAAAAAAAATTATTTATTCGTTTAAATTCATAAATATTCTATTTTCATGATATTGATATGAGAAAAGTTTGCAAAATTAGCTATGCATTTTGGGGGCGTGACAAGTTTGACCTATAATAGATATGTATTGAGACTAGAATCATCCCAATATTATACATGTCAATTTGTATCCTTGAATCTTCTGTATAACATTCTATATACCCTCACTAATAATGGATATTATCTTCATGTATAAGTAACAAGATTGCTTCTACCAATAGATTATTAGCAATCCTAATCTCTTTCTATAAAGATGATTTTATGTTATTTAGGACCTAATTTGAGTCAAAGTTTGAGTTAACAACTTATACTAATATTATTGTAAAACTCTTGACCGTCTTTCTTGGAGGTTAGAGGTTATTTTCATTGAGAATAAAATAAGAGATAAATGATTGAAATGATTTATTTATGTAGAATGGAGATTAATAAATACTCTAATTAACAGAAGTGATAAGATTATAGTTACTAAAGGACATTGAACTAGAAATAGGTTGAAGAGAACAAAGTAGTGTCTCAAACTTCATGAGGGGGAAATATACAAGATTCTCTCAACATATCGAAGTTTTTAAGTTTTAAAACCTCACATACGGACGATTTCATGAAAGACATTGACTCAAACTATTTGGAATACTTAAATCCAAACAAATCGATTCTTGGGTCCTTTCATATCATTATATGGATATTATTAAGCCGTGACAGGTTTACTTCTTTTAAAAAAGGGGAAAATGTGTCAAGGCCCTCCAAAAATAAAGTGGATGTGGCCCAGCCCTCCAATCTTTTTTCCTTACTCTTTAACCCAAAAGAGGCTACAAAATATGCCCCAGCCCTAAAAGCCCATATTTATACATGTACTCCATGTATTTTTCACATGCTACCAGAAATGCCCTCATCTCTCACCTCCTCCTCCTCTCCATCGTCACTTCTGCCCCATCCCTCAACCTCTTTTTCACTGGCGCTGTCACTTTCTCCCTCTCCCTCCTCACCCCCCATCAAACTCTTCTCCCTTCCCGACAACCCCTCCATCCAAATCGTCTTCGTCCCCTACCTCGTCAGTCCTAGCCGCCTCAAGGCCGTCTCCAAGCTACTGCTCTCCTAGTTCCCTGAGCAAGAACCGAGCTCAATCTCGTCGGATTCCCAAAGCATCTGCAAGCAGATGAGGAGGATCGCTCTCTTCGCGGGGCCCGCCATTGGTCTGTGAATTTGTGGGTCCCTCACAAGATGAGCCTCATCGACACCATAGTCATCGGCCAGGGCAGTGCTCTAGAGCTCGCTACATTGGGTAATTTCATTTAAGGGAAGAAAAAAAAATTCTTTTTTTCCTTTTTTGGGTTATTGATTATGTTTTAATTTTTGTTTTGTTTGAAGGTCCAGGGATAGTGTTTTGTGATAATTTGAGCTGTATATTCATGTTCTTGTCTATAGCTACTTCCAACATGGTTGCTACTTCACCTGCTAGAAAGAAAGGTCAGTTGTAAAAATTTGAACTTATTGGGTATGAATAAGGATAAAATGGATAGCTTTGTGTTTAGTCAGAGCAGGCGAATATATAATGATGGAAGTTTTGGTGTCTCTGTTCTTGGAGACAATGTGAATTTAGAGACTACATATGTGGAACATAAACTTCATAATATAATGTAATCATAGGATCACTTTTTGTCTATTCCTGGGTTAGTAGTTACCATATTGTCATCACATATTCATGATTATGCCAAATCATCTTCTAACTGAGCTTATCGCCACATGATAGTCCTTAATCTTGCAAAACTTACAAATAATATGTGAATGAGTTAGATGTGTGAATGATCATTTAACATTAGTGCGTGTAATCCCTCACATTCAAAAGGTGCACAGATGCTTCACTCTTTACCGTCTTGAGAGTTTAGCTGTGCCAATCTGCAACAACATCAACGACAAAAGCCATATCCTTGACCTTCATATTTGGCTCCATGAACCTTTCAGCTCTGTTAAGCATCATCCCTTTTATAGGATTTATCTTAATTGCTTATATAATGTCTTGCACAGAAGCCTACATTTTAACCATGCTAACTTGCGTCTTGAAGCACTACATCTACAACACACACCCAAGCCTGTAAACTCTTAACTTCCTGTAATTGCTTGACTATTGGATATGCAAAATCTTAGTTATGTTTCCTATTTACTAACTGTTGGTATCTCTGACTGACCTGCTTAATAAGATACATGTTGGTTTACATATATTTTTATTTCAACAAATGTCTGGAATCTTTGCCTTGATTTATGTCTATAGACATGGTATTTACACAAAGTAGCTGCATTTCATAAATCTATATTTGGCAAAAATATTATTTCAGGCGTGTCCTGGTAATTTCATATAACTTTGCACTTTACATCTCTAATATGGATGCAAGATAAAAATTTGGCGCAGCATCAGATATAAATGTTGTTGTTTGTTGCATTTGCTTGTGGCTGTAGAATGTTTCTATTTATAAAGTTACTGGGTGTACGAGTACTAACTGGTTATTTCATGTAACTTTGCACTTTCCTCCTAGTCTATTAACTTTTCATACTGAATGTTAACTTTCGCTGCGTTATGTTAACTTTCATCCAAACTTGTTAACTTTTCATATTGAATGTTAACTTTTGCTGTTTTATGTTAACTTTCATCCAAACATGTTAACTTTTCATATTAAATGTTAACTTTCACTGCTTTATGTTAACTTTCATCCAAACCTATTAACTTTCACTGCTTTATGATGACGAGGAGGAGAACGTGACAACTGGGGTGGATGGGGGTGATGGAGCCAGGGTGGAGGGAGTCCTCCCCGTTAGCGCAGCCGTGGAGGAAGAAGCTTTGTTAAAAGCTTTGTTGCTCATTCCTTGGGATGTTTCTGATTAGCATTGTGAATCTGAATGATTGTGAATGGCATTCAAATATTGGGTCCATGGATTGTTCATGTTTCATTCCCCCAGCTATGACAATTGATGTTGATCTGTAGTCTTATTAATTTTTGATGCTTGTAACATGTCATGTTTTATTGTTTAGTTGATTATACTTGTAGGTGTAAAATTTGATTTGCGGAAATGGGGACTTCGTTTGTATTGATAAAAATAGCTTATTATAAACTAATGAATCAAAGTTACAATAGAAGCGGAGGGAATATCCTCCTTGTTTAACGTGAGGTCTTTGGTAGCGATAGGACGTCTCCCTCGGTGCTCGTGTCGAGTTTGTTATGTGTACTATGTGTACTGAACTTCTCTGATAGGGATTAAAGGTAATTTTTATTGCCTACAATACTATGTGTACTCTTTATTGTTGTGTAGTTTCTCAAAAACCTTACAATCTTAGAGATTACAAAAACCTTCTACAATGTGCTACAAAAGTCTTGACAACCTACATTGCTCTATCAAAAGTGTTGTACTAATAAGCAATCCACACCAATCACCAAATGCATAGTTACAATTAGCTTGACTTTGACCTTCAACTTTGCATCGAGAACATTTCAGTGGACATTTGTAAATTATTCTGTTGTTTATGCATTTAGTTCTATTTCTTCCCTTCCTTTTAGTAGTAATAGGTGACAATATCTCGATTTCATCTCTTGACACACTTTGGTTCTCATAATCTGGGATGAGATAAAAAAAAAACTTGGTCATATCTTTTTTAAACGCTTCTATGAAAACAAAGCAGTGAAAGTTAACAAGTTTGGATGAAAGTTAACATAAAAAAGCGAAAGTTAACATTCAGTATGAAAAGTTAACAGACTAGGAGAAAAGTTAACACGTTCAGTTAAAAGTCAACATATAACTATTATAGTTAACATGTTCTGGTAAAAGTTAACATATAACTATGATATTGCTTCTTTTATACTGCTTTAATCTGAAGATCTTAACTTTCATCCTAATACATTAACTTTAACTGTTACGTGTTAACTTTCATCATTATATGTTAACTCTCCTCGTAACATGTTAACTTTTAGCTGAACATGTTAACTTTTAGCATAATACATTAACTTTCACTATTACATGTTAGCCTTCTTTATAACATGATAACATGCAACCGAATATGTTAACTTGTCAAATGTACATGTTAAGTATTGGTTTTTTCAGTTAACATTCAAGTAAACATGTAGCTTTTTATTTGAACCTGTTAAATATATGTTGTATCAAAACAAAACTAAACATATGGTGGAAAAAATACTAGAAAATATAATAAGAACAATAAGCAATCAACACCAAACACGTCGAATTTTAGTTCAAAAAACTTGTTATGAAGAAAATTAATATATTATTATGAAAGTTAACATGTAACAGTGAAAGTTAACATATTATGATAAAAGTTAACATGTTCAGCTAAAAGTTAACATGTTACAAGGAGAGTTAACATATAATGATAAAAGTTAACATGTAACAGTTAAAGTTAACATATTAGGATGAAAGTTAACATCTTTAGATTAAAGTAGTACAAACGAATACCATTGTTGGATGATTCTTAAAAAATAAACAAAAGCACAATTAAAAGCCCATCTTTTTTCACTGTGTTCCAACCTATAATGAGTAGTACAAACGAACACCCAAAATACCTCTAACACATAAATCAACAATCAAATTAGAAAATAAGAATGTATTGTTCATCTCCTGAGATATGAACCAATATATCTCATACTGCATGTCTCAACAATTAACACTGTTACTCAATCTGCTACACCCTGAAACCTCATTTCTATCACGGCATTTCTATTACAACAGTCAGAAACAACATCAAACACCATTCAATTCAATCAATCAATCATCATCATCTACGGTAATCACGATAATTTTGACATGCAAATCACAAAAACCAACTAAATATATATTGTATCAAAACAAAACGTAAACATATGGTGGAAAAAATACCAGAAAATACAATAAGAGCAATAAAAGGTCAAATTTGTTGCATTGTTTGTCATCCACATCAACTGTTTACACAACTAAACTAATATACACAATACAAGCGACACACAAGTTTTGGTTCAACTAATCAATTTTTAGAACAACTTTCTCCCGTAACTTCTTGCTTCATTTCCAAGTCACCAATAGAAATCTCCTCCAGATCTTTCACCTCCAGTTGCGTATGTGGATCGGCATGAAATTTCCTCATGATTGAGTTTCTTACTTCCATGTATATTTCAGGAGGCCTACTCGTAGACTTCCCATTAAAAAATGAAGCTAATGTGTGCTTCTCTATTTGATTGATTTCTTTCCAAGAAAACCAACCTGACAAGGAAACAAGGGGGAAACAATAATTAATTGTGAAGTTTCAAGTGATCAAAGTAAGCATATAACTAGAAATCATAACAATCCTATTCAACCAAACATATAGTCGGTGGAACTAACTATATCCTCCCAAATGCCCAACATATAGTCAGTAACACAATGTAAACATGCGCACAAGTTTTTCTAATCAACCAATTTTTAAAACAAATTTCTCTCCATCCTTATTTCATGAGGTTCTTTACATACTATATGGCTTCATGAGTCTTGGTGATAACCTCATCCATTACATTTGAATCTTTCTCTTGACCATGTTTCTGATAACCAATATGAAATGAGCGTTAGAGAGAAGAATATGGTGCAGATAAATAGAATTAAGCAAATGAATACAGAACGTATTGCCAATCAACCTTTTTGGTTGTGCAATCCTCTAAGATGAGCTTAAGCTCTTGGTCTTGTCGCCGCCTAGAAATTATTTGTGCACTAGATTCAGGGGCTGTCCAGAATCTACCATTCAAAACAATCCAAAAAGTATACATAAGCTACCAAAAAAGTGAATTACGCAAAGGGTATTAATATGTACTACTATGGATACAAATTAAGTATATAGTCCATTGACAAACCCAGAAACTAACATTTTTCTCGCTTGCAAGTGAATTATGCATGCTGATGTTAATGTCAGTTTCGAGCTAGGGATAAACAAATTTCAAGGACTCATTTGTCAAAATTGGATCTTCTGACGAATTATGCTACGAGAAGACAGAAATAATTCCCAATAAGAAACCCAAAATTCCATCTTTCCCTGAACCAGACCTCAATTTCCTTAAAATACGACTAATTGCAAAATAAAATCCATGCCCATCAAACAAAATTGGATTTTTGGGCGAACCCAGATCTCAAATTTTCAATTGATCATAAAAACACTTACCTATTCGTGAACAACAACCCAAGGCCGAAGCTTGAGAAGCAGAGCAACGATATCCATTTCACCGAGATTTGTCTATCACTGTTGCCGCTTTGAGAGCGGGCGAGAGAGAGGAGAGGGGAGGAGGACCGGCGGAGTGCGAGGAGGCTGCGGTCGAGATCGGGGAGGGAGGAGAGGATGGAGTTTAGGTGGACATCGAGAGAGCGTTGGTAGGCGATGTATTCGTGAAGGAGGCGGTGGAGGGATTGGCCAGATTCGAGCTTTGAGCATGAGAAGAGAGAAGAGAGAGAGGGCACTGGGCAGAAAAATTTTGGGGGAGAAAATGGTTAAGGGTATTTTAGGGCTTTGACAAATACTCTCTCCATGTGCTGTCTTGGAAATGTAAGTAGGGGCTGAAACATAACCACTTATTAGGTTGGGGGTTTTGTCACACAAAAAATAATACGGGAGACCTAGTCACAATAGCTTCATTTTTTTGGGGCCTTGATACGTTTTTCCCTTTAGGGGCTGTTTGGTTCGTTTCCTAGATATAGGGAAATGCAATTCCATGTAAAGAAACTCAAGTTTTGAGTTTTCCAAACTTTTCCAAGAAATAGATTGTTTTGGTTTGGTTCACATGTAAAATATGGTAGGAAACCAATGTATTTACTTTTATTGTGTTTGGTTTGCATGGAAAAAAGGGAAAACTTTTATTGATTTGACATTTCCCACTTTTCTTGTGTTTGGTTGGTTTTGAAGTGGGTAGGGAAAAGTATTTATGGTCACCATGGTAAGATTACCCCCCCACTATAGGCAAATTTATTTGTGCTTGTTATGGGAGGTAATCTTAATTATATAAAAGTGCAAATGTAGCATGTACAGATAATAATATCCCGAATTCATTATAAATTTCTGAACAAAGCAACGCACGCTCATCAGTTAATAGCAGCAAACAAGTTGTCACACAAGTTAGCATCATAATGAACTAACCCACACCCGCAAAGTGTTTAAAAGGTAAAATAACTAAAGCAAGCAGATTAACAACATGCGACCACTCTGATCTGCTACAGCACCTGGACTTAAAACTGACACAACATAATCAGAACTCGTTTAAAAGCAAGCAACATCACTCTCATCTTCTTCCTTCAGCTTGATCTCGAATTGCTGGTCAAAGTACAGGGAGTCGTCGAGTTCAAAGAGGTCCTCAATATTCTCATAACCTGAAAATGTTGATGATGCTCTTTTAATCCCAAATGTTTTGACTAATGGCATCGATCAGTTCTATGGTTTTGACTAGTGGCATCGATCAGTTCTATGTGGCTTGGTTTGCCACTGTTAAGCAATATGAAGACTATAATACAAGTGCAACAATGGAGAAGAAACTGAAAACTCATAGAGAGTGGTATGAATGTAGTCAACTCAGCAACCTGTTAATAATGGGCCAGGAAGATACCTGACTTTGAGTGAGCGTTGACTCTGGGACTAGGAGGAAGCACATCTTGTTCAAACTCCAACGTTAAGCTATCTTCAGTGTCTGATGGAATTTCCTGTATGAGAAGCAGAAGAAGAAAGTACAGACAGTTAAATAACCACGTAGATCTTCACTTCCTAAGGCCTGTAGCCACTGACATAGAAAGTATATTATCTATGTAACATCTATAGAATCGTCAAACAACACAAGAAAGAGGTTACTGATAAAAAGTGAATAATAATTGCTAGAGAAATTATCAACAGCATAAATTGTAAGCTTTAGTAGATACCATCTTTCCTACAGCATTAACTCAAACATGAACTGGCACAACTGAAAGGTCTATGTAAAAAGATATAAGACAGGATTTGATAGACCTTTAGCAGAACATGCGCCTTTTTGTGAAATCCACATGAAAGGGCTGGTTAAGTAGGAAGATGCAAATAATATATGGCCAGAAGCCTGAAAAAGCATCTGTACAAAGAAAACTAGAACAATGGTTTCATCTCTTCACTCTCTTTTGTAATTCTTCAATGTGCCTGATTTGGTTTATTTTATACATTCCAACCTCTTTTAATGTTGTGCAGGAGATACACCCAAATGATTAGGGCGATGCTCTCGGAGACTTGATTTTGTCCTAGCCCAAAAGGAAAAACTCCATAAGCAAAGACATCAGTCTTCTCATTAACTATTCCGTGCATGAAGTACTCTGGCGCCAAGTATCTGCCCCCCTAACCATACTTTCTCCACAGCATATGGAGCAAATACTCTAGGACTTCGCTACTTCAGCTTGCAATCATCCATTTTGGACCTTCAGAGTACATATGGATCTGAAGTTCCCCAAACAAACATTGATATCATTTCCATAGCAAACATACATTGATATCATTTGAATAGCACTCATAGTAATGGTTGCTCTAGATTGAATGTCAAAGCAAGTCTCTAATCCTAAGATCAACCACCTGACTGCATCACCTCATTGTTGGTTGCTATTTGTGGGTACGGACAACCAATACGTAAGTATCACAGCGATCCACTTTTAGACCAACCGATTACATTAAAATTCAGTTTGTTCTCCTCCATTACAATTCTGCTGCTCCCTCCACCATCTCTTGATCTACTTCTTGCTTCACTTCATTCTACATGTAATTTATACCTTGTATATATCCTCTTTTTAATAAATTGGTATGCTCTCCAATAAAGCAAAAGAATAGAGTTCATTCTCTTCAAGTCATATCCTAGTATAATGATATCTAACAATAAGCATAGACTTTAAGGGTATGCGATAGAATGACAGCATGACATCGATTCGTGGTTATGGAAAAATCCAAGAATGCAAAGTGTGGACACCACGTAGATAAACCACTTGTTAAAAATAATAATTCTCAGTTAAGAGAGTGGAAAATTAAATAAACGCATCAACAATGCAAATGAAATTGCACTACATTTCCTTCTCAAACTAATAGAAACATGGCATAATAACTATATCTACCGAAAATAAAATTCTTGATAGGAACCTGATTATTCACAAACTAAGAGAAGTTGATATGAAATGCATTTTCTGGATCCTGAGTAAGAATGCAGAACCAGTTGAAGTGATAGGAACCAGAGAAAAACACCACAAAGGATGCCGACTATACTTTATAACTGACTTCAAGAGAAATACACTAATTAGGCACTAATCATAATCTTAAATGTTCATCCAGAAAACGTAGAATCAAACATGATTAACTAATTAATTATCAAACATTTATTTCTTTTTTATCCACATTTTTTTTGCAATTACATACATTATTAACTAATCAAACATGAAATCCTTTCAGCACCAAAATGACAATCACAAAAATCTCACCTTTAAGGAACTTGGAGACTGCCAGCGTGTAGAGCCTCCTCTTCCCTCTGCTCCTCCCTCATCTCCTCCACCGACAATACCCCATCCAAATCCCTAATCCCAAACAATCAAAATCACATCTTTTCAATCAAAAACCAATCTTTTCAAATAAAAGAGGGCAGAAATCAATGGGACATACAGATTAACAAGGAGATTTGGGTCAGGGTTATCGACAGTGTAAACGCGATCAGCCTCCTCGTCCAGCTCGATGACGGCGTTGATGTCGGTGACGGCGGTGATGGGCTCTAAAATGCGCCGTTGTTGCCTGATGGCTTTGCTCCGGTCCTTTGATTGCTGAATTAATTGGCTGGATTTTCTGGCGGGAGCGATGTGAAGGAGGTAACTTTAGCTCACCAGAGAATCAACGACGAAGAAAAAAATCCGACGTGGCCATGTTTTCGCCGATTTTACTCGGTTGGGGAAGGAAATGGGGGAGAGAAAGAAAACCGACGTGGAGGCGATTTGTGCTTGGGTTTCCCTCTTCAGCCCTGGCGAAACAAAGCGGGGAAAAAAAATCAGCGGAAACAAAAAATCAGACGTGGAGGTGAAAAAACCGACGTGGAGGCAAAGTAAAAGTTTTCCAACGCGTTTTAAAACGAACCAAACAGCCCCTTAAAAAAACAAGTCCCCATCCTCAGATGATAGTGCCAGCAGAGATTGGTTGTTCCCACTTGTCACGATCTCTTAGTAGCGGCGAACCAAAAAAGTGAGTTGATAATTGATAGGATAGGCACCAACTTTTGGGCCGTTTGATTGGAATGAGAGTTTGAAAAATCTGAAGCAAAATCAACTTTCCATAAAATCTCTAACTTCTAAAAAATTCTGTTTGGTTGGAGGAAATTTTGATGGCAAGTTTAACAAGAAGCGTACATTTTCTCCTCAAAAATTCTCCAGAAGAGAGGATATATGAACGGAATTTTTGCTGATGTGACAGCAGAACGCAGCAACTTTTTCTCGCAGCCTGTTTTTCTCACAACGCAAAGAAAAAGTGTAGACGAGGATTTATGAGAACCCATGTTTTTAATTGAAGATTCTGCGGGGAAATGCTGACATCGGTTTGGTTCTCTTGTTATTAACGGGCTTCTCACATCTTCCTTCCAAAAGTCTTGAAGGGGCAGATGATGGGGAGGAGCCACAAAAAGAAAAAGAAAAAAAAAATCACGTGCTTGTATTTTAATTCTAAGTCATCCTTAATTTCTTTCTATATTATTTTATTTTAAATATTTGCTCTTGGTTTATATAATGCAAACAAGGATATGCACCCGTTGCAATTTCGCGAGGGTTTAGTTGGCACATTACCTAATCATGTTCACAAGAGATGTTATTAAGCATCCTATGAAGAGCCTAGCCAAAGAATTAAAATAAACAATGATGGCTCCGTGAGAATTACTGCATTGATTCAATTATAGCACTCAACTACTGTCATGGTGGTTAGTGTATGATCCAGACAGCCAAATCATACAAATTTATCATTTTTGGCATCAGAACTTCAACTATTTAGATAACTCTTTTTGCACGTTAAGACTTGCTATCTAAGTATCATTAAGGGTTTGCTTCCTTTTTCTTTCATCTTTTTTCACTTGATCTTTTAGTTATAGGTCATCCCAAACCTTCAAGTAGGGGTTGTCCAAAAAGCCCATGGCCTAGGCCCGGAACCCGACCCGGTCCGGGTTTTGCCCGGGTTTTGCCCGGACACCCCGGCCAGAGACGAGCCTGGGCCTCGTCCGGGCCCTACGAAACCGCTCGTCCGGCCCCGAGCCCGGCCCGGAACATGCCGCGGCCAGCAAACCAGATCGAGCGGCCGGCCGGAACCCTGCAGCAACGGTTAACCAGATGAGTGACTTTGTTGGAAAATCGCGGAGCCGCACGACCCGGCCCGGCAACAACGATCACCTCTGTTACGTTGCGAATTGCCCAGGCCGCGCCGGCGCGTCAAAAATGACCGTTTTGACCGGGTCGAGCCGGGCCGGGTCGATCAAAAATGACCGTTTTGGCCGGGCCGGGCCGGGCTGCCCGGGCTGGCCCGGGCATAACGGCCATATATGGGTTTTGACCGTTTTGCCACTAAAAACGGTCAAAAAACAGTCAAAATGTTAGGGTTTTTTGGTCATTTGCCTAGGGGACTACTTCTATAAATAGAGGGGGGTTTCACTTCTTCTCCTCACACAAAAACTCTTTTACTTCTCTCTAATACTCTCTTATACAATATTATACTCTCTTATAATCTCTTATATTTTCTAATACTTCCATCAAATGGCTTCTAGATCTGAATATGTAGAGCAAAATCTATCTCCTACTGATCCAGAAATGAGTCCTCCTACAACAACTACTCTTCCTACCGGTGTTAATCCTAATCAGGTGGTGACGAATCTGCACTAAGAGCTCCTAAAAGACCGAGATCCGATGTGTGAAATTTTTTTGAGAAGATAGACGTCACCAGGGATGAACATGATAGGATCATCACCCAGAAAGCTAAATGTGCTTTGTGCGGCCAGATTTTCTAAGCTCATCATAAGAGCGGCACCACCAACCACCTCAAACGCCATATAGAAAAACACAACAAATGCCAGAATCTTCAAGGTGATATCCGACAATCTATGATTTCCCAATCCTCCTCTTCTGGTAGTCTCGGTAATTATAATTATGACGCTGCCCGAGCTAGGAAATGCGTAATCAGGTTTATCGTTCTTAAAAACCTTCCTTTTAAATTAGTAGAAGATGATGAATTTTAATCAGGTTTATCGTTCTTAAAAACCTTCCTTTTAAATTAGTAGAAGATGATGAATTTGAAGATATGTTTAGAGATGGTTTTAAAAACCTTCCTTTTAAATTAGTAGAAGATGATGAATTTGAAGATATGTTTAGAGATGGTTTTTATCTCGTATTTACAAAATTTTCTCTTCAAACCTGTCAACATGATATTCTAAAATATTATCAGGAGGAAAAAGGACAAATAATTTCTTATTTTAAAAATTTAAACTTTAAATTTTCTTTAACTTCTGATATTTGGACATCTAGAATGCAAACTGGTTATTTATGTATCACAGCACACTAGATTGATAAAAATTAGCAAATGTTTAAAAAAGTTGTTTCTTTTATTGTAATTAAAGAGTCACATACTGGTATTAATATTACAAATTTAATAATTGAAGAACTTATAAAACTAGAAATTGATCAAAGAATATTTTCTCTTTTACTAGATAATGTAAGTAATAACAATGTAGCTATTGATTTTATCAAAACAACTCTGTCATTGCCATGTCATGGTGAACTTTTTCATGTTAGATGTATCTGTCATATTTTAAATTTAATTGTTCAAAGTGCATTTTTTGAAATTAAACCCATGATAGAAAAGGTTAGAACAGTTGCTAATATGCATAATACTTCTGAAATGAGAATTAAA